CCCTCGCGCGACATCCGCAAAAATCCTCGCAGCATGTACGCGCGTGTGCCGCAGGCGATGGCGCAATTTGTTCTAAAAATAGAATTATTGTCCCATATTATGGGGACAACCCCAATACTAGAAATGGCGCGCGATTACGGTCTCCGTCCCCGATTATGGCTCCTGGTCGAACTCAACATTTCCCGTTAGAAGTACTTGGGACTCCTCTGGGGCATAATCAGTCAGATGGCAGCATTTAGATAACGTGATTAAAATGGACCAATCAGAACACAGGATTTGCACAATATTCTCGACACCATGTTGAAAACCGAGCGCTATTCGATAGCCCGATCCTCTGGCGCAAAAAATGGGGCCCCACAGATACCACATGGAAAGGAAACATTTTCTACGAATCAAATATATACTCGTTTCCAATAGCGCTCGTTTTTCAAAGTGGCGTCGAGAATGGAATGTGTTAATCCTGCCTCCTGATTAATCCTTTTTAATCACGTGATCTAAATGCTGCTATCTGATTGGTTATGCCCCAGAGGCGCCCCCCAGTACTACTCCCGTCACTTCTCAGACCTTAACGTTTTTTCCGTTCCCCTAGCGTTTTTCTTGACTTGTGGCAACGTTTATTCTGCCCTCCAAACTAGTCATTATGTTATTACCACAACAAATCGCGAATCCATTTACAGCTCTTCTAAGTAAAAGAATTGTTGAGGTAATGTATCAAACGTAAGAGACCGTGTTTTACCGCGTTGCCATAGAACACGGAGAAAAGGGTTAAAAACACGATCGAATCTAAAACTAACCAGTGCAAACTGAGATGATTTCCTTGCTTAATAATGATTGAGAAACGGACTCACTCACAAGCTACCTATAGGGCGCAACATTTTAAATCAAATTGACAATAAAAACATGAACAACACACCAAACGTACGCCAAGTTTGAAACATCTGCGTCTTTTTATAACTTTATTCAGTTCAGCAGAAGAATCTGAGTACAAAAACAACAAGAACAAATCGATAAAAAAACCCAACAATATAACGATATTTCATGTGTCGTATTAACAGACATTTGTGGTTCTCTAAGGTAGACTTGTCAACGACCTTTTAGCACAAATGATATCCTAAAATTTCCTGTCCTCTGTGCATTACTTAATGTATTAGATTATCTCAAGTGAGGACGATTACAATTTTCGATTACAGTATCTTGTTCACTTTCTATCATTTTTAACGCCATTTGTATTTCCTGTATTTATTCGGTACACAACTGAAACATATGATTTGATTCAGTTCACGGAGATTATTTTCAGTATAACTAAGGTAAAGTAGCAAAATAAAACTAATTGATCATCGCTTTCGTTGGACTTTGGTTTTCTTGACCGTGTTTGAGAAATTCTCCTTAAAAAGTTTGTCAAAGTATTTCTCCAGATTCTTGCCAGCCTGTCCGACATCTGAGGTACTCTGAAAGAGAAAAAGTAATTCAAGACTTTCTGTTAATTGTTATCACGCTTTAAAGCTTGTTATTAAACTCCTCATCAATCAAATCACGTGATAAACGTACCAGATTGTATTTGTCGCTGTTTGTAAACACCAGTCGCACATCTGACACAAAGCTATCCACATCCGGGTACTGTAAAGTCTTGAGCTTTTCCTTAATGGTGCCCAGGTCCATGGGGGTTGCTATGAGTTCCGAATAGTCTGGAACCTGCAAAGTTACATGACAAGAATGCAAAATGAGAATGAGCAGCGATTAGGTCTGACGGAGAAACAAACACATTCTATTTCAATGGCTTGGCAAATCAAACGGCTAGAAAAGCGATATAGACCTCATCAAGAGAAAAATAACCACAAAACCTACCTCGCGCAAATTCACAGCTTCTGTAAATGGCCAGCTATCTTCATGAAGAAGGAGATCCCGTACAATTTGTTCACAGGTACCCATCTAGACGAACAGCAAACACGGACAACGTTTTAATTAAAAGTTAACAATCTTGTATGAACGAAGCATGTTCTTATTGTTCATCTCCAAGCCTAATTGGAGACACCACAAAGATATAAAGAATGTGAAATTTTTATGACGAAAATGAAATTTTTTAATAAAGTAAACTCTTCAGGGACCGCCCTTTGCTGTTTCTGCGTTTTAAACCCTTTCAGTATATTATTTCTCCATATTAACTGCGATGCACTACCTTAATATCATTTCTGAGGATTTATGGGTACGTCAAAACAATATCGTCTAGGTATAAATCCTGTTAATTCTTGTTAATCTGCCTGTGTGATATTTGTGGAAAGAAAGAGGAAAACAGTAGAACTTACCTCTACATTAACACGTCGCCGTTTGGTTTCTTCATGTAAAACTTCAGTCTTTCCAGTGTTCCTGGCTTGCTTTTGCCCGTCTTTGGTTGCAGAACTGGAAAACAGAAAAAGGAACAAATGAATCTACTGAAAGAACCTGTAGAAATGTCACTGCTTGGAAAACAATGCGATTAATGAAGTACGTCAACAACGTCCTTGTTTATATTCTCCAGTTGTAGTCACCCGTGTTCCTATTCGGTTTATTGGGGTCTCTTCCTGAAATATTTAGGGAGCTTAAGCAAGCCACGACGACGACGGAAAATTGGTTCTCTTTGCACCCTGGACATAAAATTAATGTCTGAATTCAATACCTGTTTCTAAGTTCACCCTTCTTTCCTTTTTCTTTCCCATCGTTTCCTTTGCTATTGCTTTTCATTGTGTTATCAGCTTTTCCATCTCCATTAATCTTGTTTCCTCGCCGTGCTTGAGTCTTTCTCGTCGCTGTAACTTTGTTTGTTTTATTAGCTGCATGTGACGTGTTTCTGAGTGCTTGCCTCTTGGAAGTATCATGTCCACTCTCTTCAGACTCTTCTAATGAGCTTAAAGTACTCCTACTGCGCGAGGTATCTTCGTCACCGTCTTCGGATTCTTCGGGAGAGCTCGGGATCTGTCGCTGATTTCTCGTTGATTTACGAGCAGGCCTTTGCGACGATTTAGAGCGACTGCCAGTCTTACGTAAGGAAGATTGGCGGTTTTCCTTTCCTGACTCTTCTTCATCGTCGACGTCTTCATCCTCAGAATCATCTGCCAATAACAAGAGTAATCATTAGGATGAGAAAGAAGAGGAGCAGGAGGAACCGACTATTGTACTTTTTACTGATTCCCTCCTCTCGACCAAAACAGACAATCCTAATTTCCTCAGGCCAAGGTTAAAAGTCGAACTTTACATGAGACGAACTAAACCGAGCGAATTAAGTACATGATGACGTTTGACTCAACTGCGTTCGTCCGACTGAATAATAAGATGGACCAACACGTTCTATCCGTCTGAAGTAGAGGATCTAAATTCGAATTAAGTTCGACGTTTGACCCAACGAACGAGCTTTACCCGTTCGGATCGACTCAAGTTGCAATTTAGTTCGTCTCATGTGAAGTTCCATGTTTGACCTGAACCTTATGTAACATCCTAATTATCTCTCAGCAGTTTTCAGCACGATCGATTCTACAGCACGTTGAATTCGTTTAACATGGGATCGGACTATTTTCCTCTTCTGTTTTCCTTCAATTTTGGTTTAAAAACTCCGAAAGTATAGATATAATTAAACGCAATTTCGATTAACTGCGTTAGCATTTGAACAAGCCAATGAGGTCAGAATTTCATTGTCACCAGAGAGACGGCTGACGACAAAAAAATACACACATTCAAATTTGAAATGATAATAAAAAACACACAAAACCCAATTGCCGATTACTAAAAAATGTGTCGTGCTTGTTAGAAGGCAGATGAAATGCTTAAAGTTAATTATTAACTCTAAAAAGTTGATTAAGGTACATTACACGTCTTTGACGCATTCCAAATTCGCGATAATGGTTAATTCACCATTATCAGCTTGAAGTTTATGTCACTAACAAGTTAGTGAGCGAAGGTCGTAAACTATTAAACTAACCCAAGATTTGAGGCCTGTTTCTGAGAGATCCACGCCCACTGTTCCTTGATGTGTTCGTACATCGCTTATTTGTCTCATCCTCCTCCTCCTCCTCACTGGAAATTTTCTGTCGGCGGGCTCGTCCACTG